TTTTCAATGGGTGTGAATTAATAATTGGTCAGCCGCAAAATGTTATTTATCAAAATTCAGTTGTAAATGTGTGTTTTCATCTATATTTTTTCAAGTCATTCTTTCTTTTGACACAATATAAGGTATACTGCTGATTTTTAGCTGTAGCTAAATGCAGTTGAAACAAATTCATATAGGAGAAGAAGAAATCCTATAGGAATTTAAAATTTCCTACAGGATATTTTTCTCCCTTAGGAGCAAGTAAATAATTCAAAAGTGAAAAAATGTCCTACAGGAATTTCTGACCCAAAAGATCTTATACAGGAATTTAAGAAATCCTATAGGATATATTTTTCCTAAGGGATTTTTTTCTCTCTCCCATAGGAAATTGTATTCCTACAGGAGATTGAATTCTCCCATAGTAATTTAGTTTCCTGTAGGATTACTTAAATATCCTACAGGAAATTAAGAAATCCTGCAGGATTTTGATAATATCCCTCAGGAATTTTTTTTTCCCATAGGAATTTTTTGTTCAAAGGTGATTATCTCACCTGACAGGCGTGATTTACCTGTAACAAAGGTAGTTATGAACTCTGTGAGTGATGGTCTACCACTTGGTATACATGATTTTTATGTGAAATGAGAATTTGGCGGGCGCCAAAATGCCACTTTTGAAGTGGCATGATTGTATAGTGTTTAAAATATTATAAAAAGAACTTGAGATAATTCCATTGTTATTTTACAAAAGTTGTTTATTTATATTAAAAAAAATGACAGTGATTAAATGGATTATTATGATATGGAGACTGTATTTTTTTTTTATTTTTTCTCAAGGGTGTGAATTTTCAAACTCTATAAAGCTTACAATCTGCGATCTATCCGAAAATCGCAATTAAATATTTATATCTTAGAAAAAAAATACAGTAGAAGACCGGTCGAAAGAAAGATTAAAAGAAAACGGCTTTAACAAAATTAATAAATTTAACATGATAGATTTATCAAGAACTAAACAGTTCAAGAAAATTAATTTCCTGAATAGAAATCTAAATAATTGTTAAAATAATGGCGTTCTGCATTAATACATGTTAACTGTGTCATGAGAATATGAATCTGCCACAACTGCACAAGTACGTTTGCGCTAAGCTCTGACTTATGTACATAAAAAAAATTATATATCAGAATCTTAAAACCTCGTATTAATTAACGAACATTGAATGGTTAAATACTTTTTTTCTTTACACACAAAACAGAAAAATTAATTAACAAATATTAAAAGAGTGAAACGCAATTTTTCCGACTAAATAATTATAAATCGTTGCTATTAAACACTGCGTGTACTGTTTTTAATAATAACAAAAATAGTTTTAATTCGGCAAATGAATTATTAAACCTTAAAAATTATTTTAGACTTACCCGGTAATCTCATATGGGGCATATCTGAAGGGCGGGATGTTGAAAATCCGTAACCAATTTAAAATTAGATAACAAAATCTAACCAAATAGCCAGATATAATATTGAATTCTTAAATAAAGTTATAAACGTATGGAAAGAAAAATCGATTAATACTATAAATTGATTCAGTGTATATTTCCTAGTCTTGCATGGTAACGGTGGAATCAGACGACTTCTTTTGTTTTATTTTTATAGTAAGATACTGTAAAAAAAAATAATGCGAGCTAATTTTCTTAGTTTAGAATGTTAGAACTATTCATCCGTTTCTACGATCAATGAAATTGTTTCCTAGAATCAATTCTGTCCGGATTACGTAGAAAACCCGATGATCCGAAAGTAAATGTACCATAAGTGCAGTATTTTTTTTAAGTTCATTAAAAGAAATCTATCCACATAAAACATAATGGAAACATTGTACGAAATGAAATAAATCAGCGGAATGAGTTTAGAGACTTCATTTCATTAAATTGATTTATTTGAATTTTTATTTAGCATTCAAGCAATGAGATGATTTTTAACCCATAAATTGTACAACTATTTAATGGTATTTTGAAGTTAATCTTTGATAGGTTTGTTCAAACAAGTTAGGAACAAAATCCCGAAAATAAGTAGATGTGTTTCATTAGAACCAGGTAGTATTCGAGGTTACTAATTGACCCTAGATAAGAAATCAGTACAGGTATGTTGACGGTGATCACACACACTGGCCGAGGTGTCAGTTAGGGGATAAGGGGGAGGGGGTGGTTGACCGCACAGGAAGACAGTGTGCTAATTAGAGAGCTACACGTACGTGTCAGTTTTCTTGTAAGAAAAGGCCTTCGATTTATTTTGATTTTTGGCATCCCGATGGATTGTTTTTTCAGTTTATTTCCACGCCGAAAAGGTAAGCTGTTAAAAAACATCATGTTTTTCCCTGTATATATTATTTTTATGTTAATGAAAAGATTCTTTTTTATAGTAACAACCATGGTGTGATAAATTGGGTAGAATATTTTCATGCATTATATTTTATAATTTTGATTAGTTTTTATTAATTTAGACATATATCAAGGAATTTATAATTAGCTTTAAAAAATTAATTTAAAATTTGAATGTATACGGCCAAAATCGTTGTTAAAATCATCTGGATCAATATGTTTTATTATTATTTCTAACATCAAGACTTTTAATATTTGTGCATACATGCAGACCAGAGGCGTAAACATATTCCTAACATTATTAGACAATAAACAAGGAAAAACAGAATATTGCATGAAAAAAAAGATACATATCAATATCCTAAATATTATATATTTATTTGCTTTTTGTGTACGCGAACATCGCAGCTTACAAAAAATCTTTCTCCCGTAACTCTGATTCATTTAAGAAAATCATATTAATAGTATTTAATTTTGACAAAATAAATCGTACAATTCGATAAATTAGTTTTAGAAAAATAGACCAGGTGATCGATATACTTATAATTTCAAATCCGCAAAATAAAGTTACTGTTTAAATTTTGAATATCACTTTCTGCTTTACCATGATATAATAATTTTATTTATTTATTTAATTATTTATAAATAAACCAATTTATTCATTCAAGAAATACGCTATTAATTTTTTTTTTCTTCTACGCTTTAATATTTCTTATATTGATGAAAAAAGAAAGGGATAAAACTTTATTTTCTCTTTTTCGGTTGATTTAATCCTATTTCTATTAACAAAACGAAAAAGAAACTCGGAATAGCTCAGTAGTTTCTTTGTGTAGTAAAGATAAAATGCAAGGGTTTCCGAATATACACGATAAACGCAAAACACGATACACGATAGAACCTGATAAACGATCTACACGATAAACGCAAAACACGATAAACGGAAAACACGATAGAAAACGCAAAACACGATAAACGGAAAACACGATACGATAGGATACACGCACGATACGATAGGATACACGCACGATACGATAGGATACACGCACGATAGAACACGATAGAATTGTAAAGAATAACGATGCGGGTACTGTACTACTCACAGGACCTCGAAACGTATTCCAAATCGACCTGTACAAGCTAAACCTACATGTAGGAAACAGCCTGAACCAACAATAGAATCAGTGTCAAGTCTTGGTTTTGAGAGCAAATTTCTCTATTCACGATGGGAATTACTGACTGTAAACCAAGGTGTTTTGTGTATTAAATGGATTGAGGACAGCAAAGAACGCTTAAGAATCGTAGTTCCTCGGAAATTACAGGATGCTGTAATGTGGAATTTTCATGATGCTATGACAGCTGGACATTTAGGAGTAAGACGCACATATGAACAATTATTACTGGCCACATTTACGGAGATATGTTCAGGATTATATTTCTTCGTGTGATATTTGTGAGGAACGGAAAAATCCATACAAGAAGAAAAGGAGCTACATGAAAACTTATGTGAGTGGTGTTAAATTCGAACGTTGGTGTGGATATAGCTGGACCGTTTCCGAAATCAGCAAATGGATTCGTATATACTCTAGTGCTTTCGAATTACTTAACTTAATTCATGGAAATACTTCCCCTTAGGAATATTGAAGCCGAAACATTACCTGAAACTATGTTTAGAGGATGGATTAAACGCTCCGATTCCCCCCCAAAATACACTCAGACCAAGGTGGCCAATTTGAGAGTCAGTCATTTCGGGAAATGTGCAAATTCCTGCAAATAAAAAAAAACACGCACCATGTTTTATCATCCGCAATCGGATGGAATGATTGAAAGACTAAACAGGACGATCAAAGATATGCTATCTAAGTATACTTCAGTGAATCAAACAGACTGGGATTAATTCATAGATGGTATTGTGTTTGCGTATAATAGCGCTGTACATGAATCAACTCGACTAACACCGTACAGAATGGTATTCGGCGAAGAAATGACTCTTCCAGTGAATCTAATAACAGAAAATTTGGATAGTGATGAGAGAGAATGTTAGGAAATACAGCGAAATATTTGCGTAAATTTGGAGAACTTCTGTGGAGATGTGGAGCATTATAAACCATTTAATCAAAGTTCTTAAGAACAAAAACAAGTTATAATAGGAATGTTCGTTCTATCAATTATGAAGTTGGAGATTTAGTTCGCCGGTGCCAGCCTAAAGTTGCTGTCGGATGTAAAACTAAACTAGCCCGAAAATGGACAGGACCTTGGATTGATGTCAAAAGACTAGTGATGTTTTATTCCAAATAAAACAATCAGAGAAATCAAAACCAGTAGTCGTCCATTCAGACAATATGAAACTGTATCGAGGGAATAAACAATACCCGTCAAAACAAAGCCCCGAATACACACGTGACCAGCCGGAAGAGCACCCGCTACGCATCGCCGCGCTCAATTTAGCAGACGGAAGCGAAACGCTTGGAAGACGCCGCCAGTACGTCCACCCGTCGCAGACGCCAGATATTATAGTCACCAGCCGCCAACCAATCAGATTCCGCGATGGAGAATGAAACGCCCCAGATTCCCCCGACTTACACAACCAGGCATGGGAGGATTATAAAAAGACCGCTTCACTTCAGAGACAGTCACTTGTAATTTTAATTAATATGCGTTGTGATATTTGTGGGAAAATATTTTCAAGAGCCAGCAACCTTAACTTACACGTGAAAGAACAAAATGCATCTGACCTTGAGTGTTTAAGTGTAACTTTTGCCGGAGGACATTTACCAGAATCTATAAATTACGGAGACACTACAGACTTTTACAAACTAGATGGGACCACATTGAGTGGAGCCATGGATCGGAAACGATATTCAGTGAAAAGACAAATTTACGAAGAGGCTAAGAAACCTGTGTGCGTTTTAAGCGAACAGTACGAAAACATTTCCTCCGACGAAGAATTTACGACAGAGAATGAAAAGAGATGAACAGCCAAACAACAAAGTGAGCCAGACTTCTTAGAAGATATTTCATTGGATTCGGGTGATATACCAACAGACGACTTTGTGAGGGACTTGAGGAGGAGGACATAGACGATGAGGGGACGTAGTAAAACCCCCGAGAGTCGCGTGGAATTCGAGACCCTGCCCGAGCTTGAAGAAAGTGACAATGAACACAACAATGTGACGCTAAGATTTAATCAACAATTTGTTTGATTCTTAAAAAAGTGACCACTACCTTTCCTGATGGAAAAATTGAAGTGTAAGTAGGGATTTGCAACTCATACATTCCGAAGACATTGATCCGGAAAACGTGGACTTTAATTCTGTGGCCAGTGAAGTGTTCAAGGACGTGCAGGAACATTCCCGAGAAGAAACACGCGGGTAATGAGAGAGACTTTTGTATGTAAATGTGACTTTGTAAATATCATCTTGTGTATATTTTATTATTTATTTGTGTTTTATATGCTATTGATTGGGTAGCACTGATAATTATTTCTAAATACGTGAGATATATTCTTTTGTAAGGAACCAAAGCTAAGAAGGGGAAAGTTGTAAAGTCGTAATTTAATATTATATTAATTTAATTAGCTGTAATTAGTATTAATTGTTTCATTTAGGGCCCTACAGTGTATGTTATATTATGTTTATTTATAGTATGGATACCCGTTGCTCCTTGTGAGCGCTGTTTAACATATGCAACTGACCCAGTTAAGAGCGTTGCTCTTCGTGAGCAACCTACTTTATATATATGCAGGGGACAGAAAGTTTCTGGGAAGAATAAAATAGTAGATGCATAGGAGAAGTATAATAGAGAGAGATGGAGTTTATTTAGTTTGGTCGGTGCTGTTCGAGGATATTTTATTTTGTGCATTCTGTTGGACTATTACAATTTGACATGATGTAAATAAATTGTAAAATGATAACCAGGTGTTATCACTGAAGCAACGCTTTACTGAGGAAGCATGGATTAATTATTAACTTAATACCACTGGATTAAAATGTTGTGTGCCGTTTAACGCTCGACGGCGCTACATATGCATTGTATATATATCTGCAATATTCAAGAAGGTGTATGAAGTTGTTTTTTTTGCAGTTGCATGTAATCAGGTTGAAATTTTTTTCATATGACAGAAGAGAATTTTCAAGACCTGTATTGGGATTATGATGATACAAACAATTTTTTGGTTGGTTTGCTGAACATTTTCTCAGAATGCCGTTGTATCATAGCAACGAGTAGAAATTATGTATTCTATTTGCAATGTATGTAATATGGCACCAAAGAGTTGTGTAATTCAATTTCATGGATTTTCTTCTGTTAATAAGAAATCCTTTAATCATATATAGCAACTGAGAGAAAGTATTTTACCAATATGTATGGTCTGATTTATTTAACTTAAAGGCTACGTGGGCCTTTTGTTTATAAGAAGGCAAGAACAAAGATTTGAAGCTCATATTTTTAAAAAATGGCATTATATTATCATAACTTTCATATCATTTCTAATATAATTGAAATTATTAAAAGTGTGGAAAGAAAATTTTTCGAAAATTTATATGTACAGAATTTAAGTGTTTATAATTGCCATACATTCTTGTTTTCTCTCAAATTAACATTCATCCTTAATTTTGTGTTGTATAGTAATGGATTGTATTAAAATGTAATCCAATCTGATTAAAATCAGATCCTTTGATCTGCTCACATAGATTGTTACACAGGGATCTTTAGAAAGACCATTCAGGGTAATCTCCTGGTGACCTCTGAATTGATCAAATGTTCACCTCCAAAAATTTATAGGTATCTTGGAAGTCAGTAACAGAATTAAAATCTCCAAGACACACGAATCAAAAATTGTGACCTAGTTTTATAGACTTCCAAGAGAATGACTAGTCTTTTCAGTTATTTAATAAGTACATTTTTTGCCCTGGCCTTTACGTTGTTGTTGGTACAAAGGATAATATTTTCTCCACTGCTTCTTTCATTTTCCATAACATCATTTAAATAAGATCTCTCTGATTGGTCAAAATATTAATGAGTATTTTTCTTACAAATTTCACCAAAAGATTACACTGACTGGTTTTCTTCAGATCCTTGTGTAGCGATCTATGTGTGCAGATCAAAAGATCTGATTTTAATCAGATTGAACTGTAATCAAGTTAAGTGAGAATAAAATGTAGAAACCGAAAACCGAGGCACTAGTGTTGTCACGAAGAATTCAAAGTTAAATTTCAAAAGTTAATATGCTTATCAAGTTAGTAAATCCAATGCATAGAATTAAATATTAACAAAAACAATAACAGAACTTGTGTCATGTTTACAAATGTAGATATTTGATGTGATGTTATGAAGTCTTACATATGTTGTCACTGAATTCTAGAATTTTTACAATTTTAAATCATTAAATGGATATATTAACTGAATGTATTAAATATGTTGTAATGAAATTCATTTTGTTTTACATTATGATTTTTTTACAATTGTAAATAGAATGACTATGTGAAACTGTGCTTATGACCTTTTGATATACCTACTTTGCAATGTTTATGTTACTTTTGTTCAGTGTTTCAGAGTTATAAAATTAAAAAAAGACTAAATTCTTAATTGTTTCATACCATACTACTCAGTCCAGAACATGTTTTGGGAGGGGGGGGGGGGGTTTCTAGATAATGTTCTATCGTTAAAATGATATTGTCCTACGGACCCGGTTTAACGATAGAATTCGTTCCGTGAATTCGTAATGTAGCAGAGAGAACACGGGCGATAGTGCATATACTAGGAACAATCTAGAGGGTTCCGAATGTAAACATTTGAAAGAGAGAAAAACATTGAGAAAATTAATTGGATTTACGTATTTATATGGATAATTTTTTGGGATAAAAGGCATTAGCAATTTCAAGAAGGTTTGTTTTGATTCTTTTGGTAGTTATTCCCAGTGCAAATCATTTTATATTCTTCAAAATCGTTTCGGAGCGGATCCGCTCCTATTTGCTACGTTGCAAGTATATGGGACGTATTCTTACTGTTGTGAGGGCCTGTACCGAGACACAGTTAGATTATTCTAATTAGGGGGATTCTAGATATAACTAAACCAATAAGAATTGGACAAGTGCCCATTTCCTGTTGGGTGGGATGTAGGTACCAAAGTGGAGTTGGACAGGTGTCTAACACCTATTGGGTTGTACTGTGATGAAGATATTTTAGATAGCCAAGAAGAATTGGACAAATGTCCATTACCTCTTGGTGGGATGTAAGTATCCAAGTGGAGTTGGACAAGTGTCTAACACCTATTGGGTTGTACTGTGATGAAAATATTTTATATAGCCAGGAAGAATTGGACAAGTGTCCATTACCTGTTGGGTGGGATGTAGGTACCCAAGTAGAGTTGGACAGGTGTCTAACACCTATTGGGTTGTACTGTGATGAAGATATTTTAGATAGCCAAGAAGAATTGGACAAGTGTCCATTACCTGTTGGGTGGGATGTAGGTACCCAAGTGGAGTTGGACAGGTGTCTCACACCTGTTGGGATGTATTACCATTTAAATCCCACCCAATAGGTTATGCACACTTGTCCAATTCTACTTGGGTTTCTTGAATCTCTTTATCAGAATACATTCCAATAGGTGTTAGACATCTGGAATCTTTAAATCTATATCAGAACCAGAAGTCTCTGTCCAGACTGTAGCTCTACTGGTTTGTACTTATCAAAAACCATTGCACTATTTTATGTATCTTTGTGTAGTCTACTTGTGTGCCAACTTTTTTTGAAATCAGACAAAAACTGTAGGAGTAGCGTTTTTAAGGAATTTTACAGAAAATTCTATTTTTAGTAACCACGGCAACACCGTTCATCGAAATCAAAAAAAGATGCACTATTCTATGTATCTTAGTGTGGTCTACTTGTTTGCCAAGTTATACTGAAATCAGACAAAAACTGTAGAAGGAGTAGCGTTTTTAAGGAATTTGACAGAAAATTCTATTTTTAGTAACCATGGCACATCGTTTATCGAAATCAAAAACAGATGCACTATTCTAGGTATCTAAGTGTAGTCTACTTGTGTGCCTAATTATATTGAAATCAGACAAAAACTGTAGAAGGAGTAGCGTTTTTAAGGAATTTCACAGAAAATTCTATTTTTAGTAACCATGGCAACACCGTTCATCGAAATTAAAAACCGATGCACTATTCTATGTATCTTAGTGTAGTCTACTCGTGTGCCAAGTTATATTGAAATCAGACAAAAACTGTAGAAGGAGTAGCGTTTTTAAGGAATTTCACAGAAAATTCTATTTTTAGTAACCATGGCAACACCGTTCATCGAAATCAAAAACCGATGCACTATTCTATGTATCTTAGTGTAGTCTACTTGTGTGCCAAGTTATACTGAAATCAAACTAAAATTGTAGGAGGAGTAGCGTTTTGAAAAATTGTTTACATACGGACAGACAGACAGACGGACGGACGCCGGACACATTACTATCGCATAAGCTCTTCTGGTCTCTGACCAGTAGAGCTAAAAATTGACAAAAATATATGTTGCAAATCAAAGGTTTACAATCGTGTATAAATTTACCTACCATCAATTCAAATATCATAAATCTGGAAAAATTAAGATTTATAAAAGAAGTTCCAATAAAGTTTGGACAAAAGCATTTATACCCAATAAGATTTGAACAGTTACTACCCAAATAATACTCTCTCGTGTGTACACTTTTTTACTACCCAATAGGCAGTATCCAATAGGACTTGGACTTTATGTACCCAATATTATACAATTATTGCTGGTTTCTGAGGTCAATACAATGGTAGGATTTCATTTGTCATACCGGCGTACGCCTAATGCGCCGCTTGACCTTTCGTAACCCGGCTTGTTACTTCATTTGACCGGGGAAGGTTCGCCGAATGCGCCGGTCTGAAATGACCGGCGAGGAGATCGCCGGTCTTAGAAATATGGCGGGAAGAGAAAACAACTGTGAAAATACAAATACTT